AGCTGAAAGTCTCACCGGGATGGGAGAGTCGGGTAGATCAGCAGCAGGCGGCTCGGGCTGCTCAGGTACCGGGCGGCTCGGCTACTGCGGGGCGGCTCGGCTACTGCGGGGCGGCTCGGCTGCTGCTGGGCGGCTCGGCTGCTGCTGGGCAGCTCGGCTGCTGCTGGGCGGCTCGGCTGCTGCTGGGCGGCTCGGCTGCTGCTGGGCGGCTCGGCTGCTGCTGGGCGGCTCGGCTGCTGCTGGGCGGCTCGGCTGCAGTGCAGTGGCGGGGCCGGGACAAGGCCGGCGGTAGGGCCGGCGGTAGGGCCAAGTAGGAGCCGGCGGCGGGCCGAGTAGGAGGCCGGCGACGGGCCGAGTAGGAGGCCGGCGGCGGGGCCGAGTAGGAGCCGGCGGCGGGGCCGTGTAGGAGGCCGGCGGCGGGCCGAGTAGGAGGCCGGCGGCGGGCCGAGTAGGAGCCGGGGCCGGGCCGTGTAGGAGGCCGGCGGCGGGCCGTGTAGGAGGCCGGCGGCGGAGCCGAGTAGGAGCCGGCGGCGGGGCCGTGTAGGAGGCCGGCGGCGGGCCGAGTAGGAGGCCGGCGGCGGGCCGTGTAGGAGGCCGGCGGCGGGGCCGAGAAGGAGGCCGGCGCGGGGCCGCGTAAGGGGCCGAGTAGGAGCCGGCGGCCCAGGGCCGCGTAAGGGGCCGGCTCGGAGCCGCGTAAGGGGCCGGCGCGGGGCCGCGTAGGAGCCGGCGGCGCAGGGCCGCGTAAGGGGCCAGCGCGGGGCCGCGTAAGGGGCAGGCGGCGGGGCCGCAGGGGAGAGGGCGACCCGAAGGGTCGCTAAAACAAAAAAAAGGGCGCGCCTCGGGGCGCGCTTCGGTGGGCCCAAAAAAAAAAATTCGGTCCTGGAGGGACCTAGCTCTATACCATGTGAAACTATGAGCAGAGGAATGAATTGACTAAGTCAGAGTTGGGTACAAATACAACCCTAGCAAACTGTACCCCATATGTGCTACCCCACTATAGCCTACAAACATGCATCAGCTATAATAATCTGACATGTCTGGCCGCCGCTTCACCTCGTCTCGCGTCTGTACTGCTAGCCCCTGAGGGAGACCCGGATGCACCAGACATCCCGACTCCGCGCTCTTACGCGGAGGCGATAGAGGGTCCCTACTCCTCTCAGTGGCAGGCAGCTATGGATGCAGAGATGGCTTCCTGGAAGTCCACAGGCACCTACGTTGACGCTGTTCCCCCTCCTGGGGCGAACATCGTCAGTGGCATGTGGATTTTCAGGGTGAAGCGGCCGCCGGGTTCTCCGCCTGTCTTCAAGGCGCGTTACGTGGCTCGTGGCTTCAGTCAGCGGCAGGGGGTTGACTACTTTCAGACCTTCTCCCCCACCCCGAAGATGACCACTCTTCGGGTTCTGCTGCACGTTGCTGCTCACCGTGACTACGAGCTCCACTCTCTCGACTTCAGCACAGCTTTCTTGCAGGGCAGCCTGCACGAGGAGATCTGGCTGCGTCGCCCACCTGGCTTCACTGGGTCTTTCCCTCTTGGTACCCAGTGGAGTCTCCGGCGTCCAGTCTACGGTCTCCGCCAGGCGCCACGTGAGTGGCACGACACACTGAGGACTACGCTCGCGGCACTTGGGTTTGCTCCTTCCACTGCCGACCCGTCGCTGTTTCTGCGCACCGACACCTCTCTGCCGCCGCTCTACATCCTCGTGTACGTCGACGACTTGGTCTTTGCCACAGCTGACACTGCTGGACTCGCCTACGTGAAGTCCGAGCTGCAGAAGAGACACACGTGCACTGACCTGGGTGAACTGCGCAGCTACCTTGGCTTGCAGATCACCCGGGACAGAGCACGCCGCACCATTACCCTGACTTAGTCACACATGGTGCAGCAGGTCCTTCAGCGCTTCGGCTTCACGTACTCCTCGCCTCAGGCCACTCCTCTGCCTACTTGCCACTCGCTCTCAGCTCTGCCTTCGGATGAGTCCGTAGAGTCGAGTGGCCCGTTTGCAGAGCTTGTTGGCTGCCTCATGTACCTGATGACCTGCACACGACCTGACCTCGCATACCCTCTTAGCATTCTCGCACGCTTTGTTGCTCCTGGGAGACACCGACCAGAGCATATGGCTGCAGCGAAGAGGGTGTTGCGCTACTTGTGCAGTACGTCGGGCATGGGGCTAGTGCTTGGAGGGCGCAGTCCAGTGGTCCTCACTGGGCACGCAGACGCTTCTTGGGCTGACGACCAGGCTACGCAGCGGTCGTCACAGGGTTACACCTTCAGCCTTGGTTCCGGCTCTGTCTCGTGGCGGGCTACCCGCTCGTCTTCTGTTCTCGGCTCCAGTTGTGAGGCTGAGATCTACGCTGGGGCTATGGCTGCACAGGAGTTACGCTGGCTCACCTACCTACTGACCGACCTTGGAGAGCAGCCTCGTTCTCCTCCAGTCCTGTACGTAGACAACAAGGCCATGCTGGCCTTGTGTCGAGAGCAGCGACTGGAGCACAGAACGAAGCACATTGCTCTTCGCTACTTTCTTGCTCGTGAGCTACAGCAGCGTGGACAGCTGCGACTTGCGTACGTGGCCTCTGAGGCCAACACTGCTGATGTCTTCACCAAGGCACTTGCGCCTTGTGATCATCAGCGTTGCTGCACGCAGTTGGGTCTTGTGCCTGTCTTGCCTCACTTGCTCTCCTCTTGACCTTGCTTGTACCTTCGCATATATATACTCTTGCTCTTGTATATCTCTATATATGATCTTGCATGTGAACTGGCCTTATGGCCTTTGAACTTGTGCTCGGAATGCGTGGTGACTTTGTGATCCACCCTGAGCTTTGCTTTGCTTTGCTTGACTGGTCTTGTGACCCCTTGTTCTCCCCCACTTTGCCTATGGGGGTGTGTCAGAACATATAGCTTACTTGTTTGTGTAGGCTATAGTGGGGTATCCCATAGGGGGTACAACACATTAGGGTTTCCTATTTGTATTCACTTCACTTCATAGTCATTCATCCTCGTTCTTTGTTTCCACACAAACATGATTGCCTACCGGTCAAGCAGCAGTACTTCACGGGCAAAAAATACTTGGTTTCGGCTGGCAACACCAACGGCAGCCTCCTCGTTGCCACTTTGAAGGTGTAAACATTTTGAGCAGAAAATGTATCCTACAAATTCTACCCTAAACCATCGGGTGCACATTTTTCCTGTAGAGCAATTGATTATGTTATTTTGGGTCGCGTTTCTGGTCGAGGGTAGAAATCTTCATCTATTAAAAACCCAACGGTGAGTTGCGCACGTGTTATTTTGGAATTTTGTGTACATTTTCTCGTATCTTAGTCTGCTAGAATCAATTAAATTGCGTGTAAGTTTGTTGTATCCATTGACTACACGGTTCTGACAGTTGCGGCTTATACTGTTTCTACAGCTGTCAGGACTGTAATCGAAATTAACTTGCATCTCGAATGTAGTGACCCCAGGTTCGGAAACCCTAGGTCAACTCGGCTAGACTTTGGTGGGGCTGTACTGGTGAATGAAGTGCAATCAAACAGGGCCTTAGGGCACGTGTGATCTTTAAAAGTTGTGAAAAATACCCTTTTAAGTCGAATGTAGCGCTTGAACTTATCCCGTACGAAATTCAAATTTTTTTGTAGCGAAACTTTGTGGAACAACACTGTAAACTTGCAATCACACAAACCAAGGTCGAACATAGGGACCGCAGGCGAGCTGCCCGTAGGGGTGTAGTGTCAAACTCATATCATATAGCTTGTCTAGGCTATAGTGGGGTAGACACTATGGGGTACAATTTCCTAGGGTTTCCTACTTGTACCCAACCTTGTGCTAGTTCATTCATTCCTCATTCTTTCACATGGTATAGAGCAGGTTCTTTAATGGGAACGCTACCTTGGGCCCACCACTGAGATTTTTTCTGACCGGAGCGTGAGTCGCTTCTGCCCGAGGCGCGCCTTATGGGCCGCCCTTCCGTCGAGGTCCCTTACAGGCCCCTCCCACGGCCCCCCGTGCCGCCCCTCGCGGCCCCTACTGGCCCCGTCGCCGCCCCTACGCGGCCCCGTAGCCGCCCCTAGCGGCCCCGTCGCCGCCCCTACGTGGCCCCGTAGCCGGCCCTAGCGGCCCCGTCGCCGCCCCTACGCGGCCCCGTCACCGCCCCTAGCGCCCCCGTCGCCACCCCTAGCGGCCCCGTTGCCGCCTCTCCACCTACGCAGCCCCGTCGCCGCCCCTAAGCGGCCTCGTCGCCGCCCCTACGCGGCCCCGACGCCGCCCCTACGCGGCCCCGTCGCCGCCCCTAGCGGCCCCGCCGCCGCCTCCCTACCTACGCGGCCCCGTCGCCGCCCCTACGCGGCCCCATCGCCGCCCCTACGCGGCCCCGTCGCCGCCTCTAGTGGCCCCGTCGCCGCCCCTAGCGGCCCCGTCACCGCCTCCCTACGTACGCGGCCCCGACGCCGCCCCTAGCGGACCCGTCGCCGCCCCTACGCGGCCCCGTCGCCGCCCCTAGCGGCCTCCTCGCCGCCCCTAGCGGCCCCGTCCCCGCCTCCCTACCTACTCGGCCCTATCGCCGCCCCTACGCGGCCCTGCCGCCGCCCCTACGCGGCCTCGTTGCCACCCCTAGCGGCCTCCTCGCCGCCCCTAGCGGCCCCGTCGCCGCTCCCCTCCCTACGCGGCCTCGTCGTCGCCCCTAGCGGCCCCTTCAGCCACCGAGCCGCCCAGCAGCTGAGCCGCCCAGCAGCCGAGCCGCCGAGCCGCCCAGCAGCCGAGCCCCCGAGCAGCCGAGCCGCCCAGCCACCGAGCCGCCCGACAGCCGAGGCGCCCAGCAGCCGAGCCGCCGAGCAGCCGAGCCGCCCAGCAACCGACCCGTCGAGCCGCCCAGCAGCCGAGCCGCCGAGCCGCCCAGCAGCCGAGCCGCCGAGCCGCCCTGTCGTTGAGCCCCTACTGCTCCTACCGGCGCGCCCCGGCCCTACTTACTCGTACTGGTGAGATCACTCCCTGCTAGGCCACTGCAGTCATGGCTACCCATAGCGTCCTTACCTTTGATGCTGAGGGTCGTGCTGTTCACTTTGAGGTCTGGGTCGATGACCTCCAGCCTTTCCTACAGTGCGATAGGGCAGACGGAATCTCCCTATTCGATCTCACCTCTAGTGCCTCTCCTGCCCCGCCTGCTACTGCTGACAGCACTGTTCGCTCACAGTGGGCCACACGCGATGCTGCTGCCCGTCTTGCTGTGCGTCGCCACTTACCGACTACTGAGCGTGCACACTTTAGCCAGTACAAGAGTGCTCAGACCTTGTACGACGCTATAGTTGCACGCTACTTCTCCCCTGCCACTGCTGCGCTTATCCGCCGCATGCTGTCGTACCTGTTCCACGACCTTGCTGCCTTTCCCACAGTCGCTGACCTCATTACGCACCTTCGCACTAGTGACACTCGCTACCGCGCTGCGCTTCCAGCTGAATTCTGTGCCAAGAACCCCCTCCCCCCCCATGTACATCACCCTCTACTACATAGTCACTCGGCTTCCTGACTCCCTTCGCTTAGTCAGGGACCACTTCCTCGCAGTTTGCCCCACCACACTCACCGTTGACCTCCTCGAGGAGCGCCTCCTAGCAGCAGAGAAGAGCATAGTCGCTGTAGGAGCCTCTCGTGGTGACCCTTGCACCCCCGTCTTTGACGACTGTTCCCCCTCCCCTCTCTTGCCCTCTGTTGCTTCTGCTGCTGCGGCCGACCTCGTTGGTTTCGAGTCCGTCGGCGCTGCATCTGCCCCTATCGGGAGACGCCGCACCGGCAAGGGCAAGGGGGGCAAGGGCACTGGAGGGGCTGGCGGGGGCGGTGGAGGTGGTGGTGGAGGCAGTGGGGGGGGTGAGGGTGGTGGTGGGAGTGGTGGCGGGGGTGGAGGTGTCGCTGGCAGCAGTGGAGGCGGTGGAGGCGGCGGCGGTGGCGGAGGGAGCGGAGGCAGCGGAGGTGGCGGAGGCGGCGGAGGTGGCGGAGGCGGCGGCGGCAGCGGTGGAGCTGGTCGCGGCTCTGCGCAGAGGAGTTGCTCCGCTGGTGGTCCGCGCCAGCAGCAACAGTGCAGTCATGAGACCCTGTCCCCTCAGCAGCTTCGTGAGTGGTACGGTGCGCGTCAGCGCGGTGGGGGTACTGGTCCCTGTACCTACGTCCTCCGTACCGGCGACCGCGCTGGTGAGCAGTGCGGGGGCCCGCACTCCACCCAGCGCTGCTTCGGCCGCCTGACGGACGCGTGGCGTCACCAGTTCCCTGAGGCCTCTGAGATCCCTCGCTGGGGAGAGCTGTCTAGGGCGGGGGTTGCTATCTTTGATCTTGACTATGATGCTATTCTTGCTGTCATGTATGCTGTGTCTGGTAGTGTTGAGGGTGACTGTTACCTGTGTGTTCCGCCTGACCCGGGCATTGAGGCTGCTGCTCTAGGTGCTGGTGAGGCTGCTGCTCTAGGTGCTAGTGCGTCTGCTACCCCAGGTGCTGGTCAGTCTGCTCTCTCAGGTACTACGTCGGCTCCGGCCTTACACACCTTCACCCTTGACTCGGGTGCTTCCCGCTCCTTCTTTCGAGACCGCACCACGCTTACGCCACTTAGTCGGCCATTTGCAGTCTCCCTGGCGGACCCCTCTGGGGATCCTGTCCTTGCTAGCTTCTCCACTGTCTTACCGTGCCCGGCAGCCCCCTCTGGCACCCTGTCCGGTCTATACCTTCCCTCGTTCTCTACGAACTTGGTGAGTGGAGCTGACCTACAGGATAAGGGGGTTGACCAGTTCACTCCTGCGAGTCAGCGGGTGACCCACTGCACGTGTGCTCGGACAGAACGACACTTGGCCACGTTCACCCATCGGGCGGGGTCGAGCCTGTACACACTTACTACTGAGTCTCCTTCGACTGCTGAGTCTGGTCAGGTAGCTGCGTCAAGTCAGATGTTTGCTGCAGCGTCCAGGTCTGGTCCTGAGTCTTCTCCCTGCTCGTGTCATCTCCTATCCCACCAGACTCTTCTTTGGCACCACCGCCTTGGTCACCCCTCCCTGCCTCGTCTTCGAGGCATGGCCTCCCGTGTCCTTGTCTCTGGTCTCCCCCGGTCTCTCCCTCCCCTACCTCCAGGGCATGCCCCTACCTGCGTCCCCTGCGTCGAGGGGCAATAGCGCGCCGCCCCTCACTCCTCCGAGTTTCCTCCGACAGAGGCTCCGCTGCAGACCCTCCACATGGACATGTGGGGCCCCGCCCGCGTCCGTGGACAGGGCCACGAGCGTTACTTCCTGTTGGTGGTTGATGACTACTCGCGTTACACCACAGTCTTCCCCTTGCGCACCAAGGTTGACGTCACTCGGGTGTTGATCGACTGGATCTGCGCAGCTCGTCTCCAGCTCAGTGAGATTTTCGGCTCGGACTTTCCTGTTCTGCGTCTGCACTCTGACAGAGGCGGGGAGTTTTCCTCTGCCCATCTGGGAGCCTTCTGTCGTGCACAGGGCATCCGCCAGTCCTTCACGCTTCCGGCCTCTCCACAGCAAAATGGGATTGCTGAGCGCCGCATTGGCATGGTCATGGACGTCGCTCGTACGTCCATGATCCATGCGGCTGCCCCCCATTTTCTGTGGCCATTTGTGGTTCAGTACGCAGCGCATGATCTCAACCTCCAGCCCCGGGTCTCCTTGCCAGAGACCTCCCCCACCCTGCAGTGGACCGGGAAGGTTGGCGATGCGTCTGCGTTTCGGGTCTGGGGATCTCGGGCATTTGTTCGTGACTTGTCAGCGGACAAGCTGTCCCCCCGTGCTGTTCCCTGTATCTTCCTTGGCTTCCCCCTGACGCGCCTGGGTGGCAGTTTTACCACCCCACCTCGCGCCGTGTTCTGTCCTCCCAGGACATCACCTTTGACGAGTCGGTGCCTTACTACCGTCTCTTCCCCTACCGCACTGCGCCCCTCCCCCCGCCGTCGCTCTTCCTTGCGCCAGGTCCTCCCCCGGTAGACCCCCTCCCCCCTCAGGGTCCTGCCCAGTCAGGTGTGTCCCAGGTAGACGCAGCCGAGCCTGTCGAGGTAGCTGTTGACTCTGGTGCTGATATAGGTGCTGAGCCTGCGGGTGCCGGGTCTGGAGGTGCTGGGCCTGAGGGTGCGGAGCCTATGGGTGCTGAGTCCAGGGGTGTTGAGCCTGGTGGTGCTGAGTCTAAGGGTGTTGAGCCTTGGGGTGCTGAGTTTGGGGGTGCTGAGCCTGGGGGTGCGGAGCGTGGGGGTGCTGGGTCTGCTCGTGTGGCCTCTCGCGGTGCTTTGTCGAGTCGGGAGCCACACTCTCCACAGGAGCTGCGCGAGTGGTTTGCCCGGCGCTGGAGCCGTGCTGCTAGAGCAGGAGGTTCTACTGTTGCTGCTGGTCTCGGAGGTACTGCTGGAGCTGCTGGCGGTACTGGCGCTGCCGGTCCTACTGGAGCTGGAGGTGCTGGGGGTGTTGGCGCTGGTGGTTCTGCTGGCGCTGGTGCTTCTGAGGGTGCTGGAGTTGGCGCTGTTGGAGCTGGAGGTACTGCTGGCGCTGGTGCTGCCGCTGGGGGTAGTGGTGCTGTCCCTGCTGGTTCTGGAGGCACTGCGCGGCCGCGGCCGTACTTCGTTCCGCTCCTTGAGCAGGTTCTTGGTCTCCCGCCTTCTACTACTCCGGCTCCTCCCTTAGAGTGTCCGCAGCCTGTCCAGCCGCAGTCACAGTTACAGCCCGCCTCCCCCCCTACCTGCTCCTTCTCTCTACATTGGTCCTACTGGAGGTCTTGCTGAGCGTCGTGAGCCTGCGTCTCGTCCTGCGTCGCCTGTTCGTGCTGCTCGCACCAGTCGTCGTGCTCCGCGTCCGCCTCCTCCTACGATCCCAAGCACACACCAAATGGCACTGCGTCCTTCCACTGCTCCTCTGCGTGTCCCGTTGCCGTCTCCTCCTATGTCCTCTCTTCCTGTTCTTGCTCACCCGGAGTCTGACTCTCTTTGTGCTGCCAGTCCTACTGTCACGCCTCTGCTAGCTACTGCTGTCACTGACCCTTCCTTTGAGTCCACTGCTGCGTTTGCCTTAGTGGCTGAGCTTGACGACTTTGTTGCTCGCTGTCATCTAGACTACGCCGCTAGTCTTGTTGCTGAGTCTGAGTCTGTGTGTCCTCCGTCCGTCGGGGGTGAGTGTGCTCTTAGCACGGACGTCCTTGAGGACAGGCAGGAGGAGTTCCAGTGTTTTGCTGCTGCTTTGCCTCATCTCGTGTCCACGCTGATTGCCCCTGAGGGAGACCCGAATGCACCAGACATCCCGGCTCCTCGATCGTACGCTGAGGCGATCGAGGGTCCCTACTCCTCACAGTGGCAGTCAGCCATGGACGCAGAGATGGCTTCTTGGAAGTCCACAGGCACCTACGTCGACGAGGTTCCCCCACCTGGGGCGAACATCGTCAGTGGCATGTGGATTTTCAGGGTGAAGCGGCCGCCGGGTTCTCCGCCTGTCTTCAAGGCGCGTTACGTGGCTCGAGGCTTCAGTCAGCGGCAGGGAGTTGACTACTTTCAGACCTTCTCTCCCACCTCGAAGATGACCACTCTTCGGGTGCTGCTGCACATAGCCACGCAGCGCGACTACAAGCTCCACTCTCTTGACTTCAGCACAGCTTTCTTGCAGGGCAGCTTGCACGAGGAGATCTGGCTCCGCCGCCCACCTGGCTTCACCGGGTCGTTTCCTCCTGGTACCCAGTGGAGCCTCCGGTGGCCAGTCTACGGTCTCCGCCAGGCGCCCCGTGAGTGGCACGACACACTGAGTACTACACTTGCGGCTCTTGGGTTTGCTCCTTCTACAGCCGACCCATCCCTGTTCCTGCGAACCGACACCTTTTTGTCGCCGTTCTACATCCTCGTGTACGTGGACGACTTGGTCTTTGCCACTGCTGACACTGCTGGACTCGCCCACGAGAAGTCCGAGCTGCAGAAGAGACATACGTGCACAGACCTGGTTGAACTGCGCAACTACCTTGGCTTGCATATCACCTGGGACAGAGCACAGCGCACCATTACCCTGACTCAGTCACACATGGTGCAGCAGGTCCTTCAGCGCTTCGACTTCAAGTACTCCTCGCCTCAGGCCACTCCTCTGTCTACTTGCCACTCGCTCTCAGCTCTGCCTTCGGATGAGTCCGTAGAGCCGAGTGGCCCGTACCCAGAGCTTGTTGGCTGCCTCATGTACCTGATGACCTGCACTCGACCTGACCTTGCATACCCTCTTAGCATCTTGGTACGCAATGTTGCTCCTGGGAGACACCGACCAGAGCACATGGCTGCAGCAAAGAGGGTGTTGCGCTACTTGTGAAGTACGTCGGGCATGGGGCTAGTGCTTGGAGGGCGACGTCGAGTGGTCCTCACAGGTCACGCAGACGCTTCTTTGGCTGACGACCAGGCTACGCAGCGGTCGTCACAGGATTACACCTTCAGCCTTGGCTTTGGCTCTGTTTCGTGGCGGTCTACCCGCTCGTCTTCTGTTCTCGGCTCCAGCTGTGAGGCTGAGATCTACGCGGGGGCCATGGCTGCACAGGAGCTACGCTGGCTCACCTACCTGCTGACTGATCTAGGAGAGCCGCCTCGTTCTCCTCCAGTTCTGTACGTAGACAACAAGGCCATGCTGGCCTTGTGTCGGGAGCATAGACTAGAGCACAGAACAAAGCACATTGCTCTCCGGTACTTCCTTGCTCGTGAGCTGCTGCAGCGTGGTCAGCTGCACCTTGCTTACGTGGCCTCTGAGGCCAACACTGCTGATATCTTTACCAAGGCACTTCCGCGTGGTGATCATTAGCGTTTCTGTACGATGCTAGGTCTTGTGCCTACCTAGCCTCACTTGCTCACTTCTTGACCTTGCTTGTACTGTGATCTTTCTATACCTGCACTTGCTTGTTTACCTTTATATATGATCTTGCATGTGAACTGGCCTCTTGGCCTTGCTCTTGTGCTCGGATTGTGTGGTGACGTTGTGATCCACCCTGGGCTTGCTTTGCCTTGCTTGACTGGTCTTGTGACCTCTTATTCTCCCCCACTTTGCCTATGGGGGTGTGTCAAACTCATATCATATAGCTTGTCTAGGCTATAGTGGGGTAGACACTATGGGGTACAGTTTCCTAGGGTTTCCTACTTGTACCCAACCTTGTGCTAGTTCATTCATTCCTCATTCTTTCACATGTAGATTACCTGGTATAGCGCGACACGTCAACATACTGCGACCTCCACGAAATATTCGCGATTTTTTTTAGATATCTTATACATTACATGAGTGCAAAGACATTGGCAGTCGTAACTGGGAGGAGAGCGCTACAATAAGTAGTATTGCAGATTCCCTGTAACGCAGCTACGGTGGCTGATGCGTCATCCTCGGGTTGTCCCAAATTGAGCTGAAACTGATCCTCCACGTCAGCGGTGCGCTGCTGCTGCAGATTCGCCGCATCACCGTTGCCTCGTCGGCTGCCAGGTGTGCCCAGTCACCACCATCCAACACCCATCCTTTCTTCCGCGCTGTCCCCTCCCGCGCCAAGCAGTACACCCGTGCATGCGCGACAAAGTTTATCACCTCCTGCCGGATCACTCTTCCAGCCTGGAAAGCCTCCCTCCTCCATGTCGTGTTGCACCTCGCTAGCCATAGTTGGTGCAGCACGGTTGCCACCCATGCTCCCTCCAAAAAACCTGTCCTTGTACTCCTTTGCATGAACAGCAGGTCCTCGAGATCCTGCAACACTAGCTCCGGGTTCATTGCCGCCAACCCTCGCCTCAGAAAAATCACCACCTCCTGCACCACCAGGCAGCCGAGAAGACAATGCTCAGGCGTCTCTTCTCCTCTGTAGTGCGGGCAGACCACCCCTATGAAAAATAGCCTCGAGCCCACTTGAAGGTTCCTGCAATGTAGCCTCAGAAGAATTTCACGTGCCCGCCGTCGAGTGGCGAGTGAATCCCTCCACTCGATGATTCTGTCCTATTCGATCTCTCTCCCTTGCCCTTCCCACCTCCTTTGTTTCTCGTGCGAGCCAGCCGAGCTTGCTAGCACCTTTCTGATTCCTTTCAGCGGGAGCAGCTCGCCTTCTTTACATGCCTCTGATAGTACCTGGCTTGAGTGGTTCCTCTGAAGGGGATGCTCGGGTTGAACGACAAGTGTTCCCGCTCGACCTCCCGTTCACGGGTGCTCGTGGCTTGCACAGTGGCGAGTCCCTTGACCAGCTTCTTCCACCGCGCACTTCCCTTCAGCCATTGACCCATCAAGGATTCGTGAGCGAAGATGGTGTCCCAGCCCAAGGGCATCTCCGCCGCTTTTTCCGCCAGCCACTTCTTGACGGAGCTCGGCCTCAGCACCATCCGACAGATGGTCCGTCATGCAATGCTATCCACTTTCCGCTCCGGGCAGATCAGGCCCAGTCCTCCGTCCTTCCGCGGTGTGCAAGCCATGGTGTTATTCCAGATGATGAACCGCTTCTCCTCTACCGCCTCTCCCTTTGACACAAAGGTACGGCATAACTTGTGGATCTTTTTCCATTTGTCCTCCGGGAGCAAGTAGACTTGAGCCTGGAAGAGGAAAAATGGCACAATGTAACTGTTGATTATCTTGGTACGAAATATTCGCGATGTTCGCATGGTCTTCGTACGTGCTGAAAACAACACACGCTCGCTTCAACGTGCACGCGCAAGTTCACCCATGTGATTCGAGTTCAGTTCACATTTTACATTCGCACTTATGTGCCCCCAAAATTTTCATGCCTTCGCCAAAGCATGTTGGCGACATTGGCGAAACGGGTAACCACTCAAAGACCTCTTTCTTTCACTTGAGAAAATATCAAACGCGCCTCTGTCAGTTTCAAACCCCCACAGCCCCTCAGATTCTCGGAAGCGGCTGTCGCAAAGATTGTGTGGTGTGGTGAGTGCTGCATTTCCTCGCCACCTGGTTCCGCTTTCGCCCCATTCGGTCCGTGCAAAGGTTGGTTGGTGCTTTTCAACTACCGACATTGCCAGTGCAGGGACAGGAAAATGCGACGCGTTGACTCGTGTGCGACTCACATTCGCTCTTGTCATATTGACGCCGCTCGTCGCTCATCGTCGTACAGTGCCGCTGCTCTCCCTGCAGCCGCCGATGGGGTTGCTATCGCTCGTGAAGCGGAGAAATGCCGCCGCCAAAAGTGATGCCCCAGCCGACACCGCCGACGCGCAGCCCGCCGCCCCTGCGGCCGCGGAGCAGCCATCGCCAGCCGCCGCACCTGCTGAAGGAGCTGACGATGCGGTATATCTGGTGCGCAAGGCGGGCTTAGCGGCGAAGGCGGCGAAGGAACCGGCGAAGGAGGAGGTGGGGGAGGCGGAGCACACAGTGCGCGTGCTGGGGCGCGCGTACGAGAGCGTGCACGAGGCGTACAGCATGGGGCGCGAGCTGGGGCGCGGGCAGTACGGCGTGATCCGCGCGTGCGTGGAGAAGGCGACGGGCGTGGCGTGGGCATGCAAGAGCATCAGCAAGGCGCGGCTGGCGGGCGCACGCGAGGTGGAGGATGTGCGGCGGGAGGTGCGCGTGATGCAGCAGCTGCGCGGCCACCCCGCCATCGTGGCGCTGCACGCCACCTTGGAAGACGACCAGGTGCGGCGCGCATGGCAGGGGGTGTGCAAGTGCAGGGCTTGCCATGTCGGACAGGCTCTGTTGCCACGTGGCACGGGAATTTTCTGCTGCTTTATTCTTCTCATGATTCTGCCAGAAGCCCTGTATGTCTGACTATGCCCTGTATGTCTGACTATGCCCTGTATGTCTGACTATGCCCTGTATGTCTGACTATGCCCTGTATGTCTGACTATGCCCTGTATGTCTGACTATGCCCTGTATGTCTGACTATGCCCTGTATGTCTGACTATGCCCTGTATGTCTGACTATGCCCTGTATGTCTGACTATGCCCTGGATGTCTGACTATGCCTGCATGTCTGACTATGCCCTGTATGTCTGACTATGCGCCATTGCTTTAAATCCCGCTGTGCGCTTTAAACGCCTTAGCGCTCTACTGTGCGCATTGCTCTACTGTGCCTGCTGAGCCGGTGAGTGAGTGTTTTTGTGTGTGTGTGTGTGTGTGTGTGTGTGTGTGTGTGTGTGTGTGTGTGTGTGTTTGTTTGTGTGTGTGTGTGTGTGTTTGTGTGTGTGTGTCTGTGTGTGTGTGTCTCTGTGTGTGTGTGCGTCTGTGTGTGTGTGTCTCTGTGTCTGTGTGTGTCTGTGTGTGTCTGTGTGTGTCTGTGTGTGTCTGTGTGTGTCTGTGTGTGTCTGTGTGTGTCTGTGTGTGTCTGTGTGTGGGTCCCAGCAAGTGCATCTCATAATGGAGTGTTGTGAGGGCGGGGAGCTGTTTGACCGCATTCGCCGGCGCAAGCGCTACCCGGAGGAGGACGCGGCGGTGGTGTGCCGCACGCTGGTGGGCGTGGTGGGGCACCTGCAGCGCCACGGCCTCATGCACCGCGACCTCAAGCCCGAGAACATCCTGCTCGTGTCGCCCGCCTCCCACACGCACATCAAAGTCGTCGACTTCGGCCTCGCCCTCCCCGTCCACCCAGGTGCCCTCCCCGTCCACCCAGGTGCCCTCCCCGTCCACCCAGGTGCCCTCCCCGTCCACCCAGGTGCCCTCCCCGTCCACCCAGGTGCCCTCCCCGTCCACCCAGGTGCCCTCCCCGTCCACCCAGGTGCCCTCCCCGTCCACCCAGGTGCCCTCCCCGTCCACCCAGGTGCCCTCCCCGTCCACCCAGGTGCCCTCCCCGTCCACCCAGGTGCCCTCCCCGTCCACCCAGGTGCCCTCCCCGTCCACCCAGGTGCCCTCCCCGTCCACCCAGGTGCCCTCCCCGTCCACCCAGGTGCCCTCCCCGTCCACCCAGGTGCCCTCCCCGTCCACCCAGGTGCCCTCCCCGTCCACCCAGGTGCCCTCCCCGTCCACCCAAGCGCCCTCCCCGTCCACCCAGGTGCCCTCCCCGTCCACCCAGGTGCCCTCCCAGTCCACCCAGGTGCCCTCCCCGTCCACCCAGGTGCCCTCCCCGTCCACCCAGGTGCCCTCCCCGTCCACCCAGGTGCCCTCCCCGTCCACCCAAGCGCCCTCCCCGTCCACCCAGGTGCCCTCCCCGTCCACCCAGGTGCCCTCCCCGTCCACCCAGGTGCCCTCCCCGTCCACCCAAGCGCCCTCCCCGTCCACCCAGGTGCCCTCCCCGTCAACCCAGGTGCCCAGCTTTTTGTTCGCCAGGCAGTGACTTCACACACGCACTCATCTCGCCTCCTCCTTGCACTCCACTGCCTCCTTGCACTCCACTGGCTCCTCCTTGCACTCCACTGGCTCCTCCTTGCACTCCACTGCCTCCTCCTTGCACTCCACTGCCTCCTCCTTGCACTCCACTGCCTCCTTGCACTCCACTGCCTCCTTGCACTCCACTGCCTCCTTGCACTCCACTGCCTCCTTGCACTCCACTGCCTCCTTGCACTCCACTGCCTCCTTGCACTCCACTGCCTCCTTGCACTCCACTGTCTCCTTGCACTCCACTGCCTCCTTGCACTCCACTGCCTCCTTGCACTCCACTGCCTCCTTGCACTCCACTGCCTCCTTGCACTCCACTGCCTCCTTGCACTCCACTGCCTCCGTCCCTCTCCCGTGGGGCGCTGCTCACTGCACCCCTCCCGTGGGGCGCTGCTCACTGCACCCCTCCCGTGGGGCGCTGCTCACTGCACCCCTCCCGTGGGGCGCTGCTCACTGCACCCCTCCCGTGGGGCGCTGCTCACTGCACCCCTCCCGTGGGGCGCTGCTCACTGCACCCCTCCCGTGGGGCGCTGCTCACTGCACCCCTCCCGTGGGGCGCTGCTCACTGCACCCCTCCCGTGGGGCGCTGCTCACTGCACCCCTCCCGTGGGGCGCTGCTCACTGCACCCCTCCCGTGGGGCGCTGCTCACTGCACCCCTCCCGTGGGGCGCTGCTCACTGCACCCCTCCCGTGGGGCGCTGCTCACTGCACCCCTCCCGTGGGGCGCTGCTCACTGCACCCCTCCTCTGCATGGCACGGCACGGCACGGGTGGCATGCGCATGGCGGGGCGGTGAGGGTGGCAGGGGCGCGGGTGACGGCGATGGCGGGGAGCAGCTACTACATGGCGCCGGAGGTGCTGGAGCACTGCTACGGCGCCGAGGCGGACATGTGGAGTGTGGGCGTCGTGCTCTTCATCCTGCTCGCCGGCGTGCCGCCCTTCTGGGCTGCCAGCGAGGCCGGCATCTTCAGCGCCATCCGGGCGGCGCGTGTGGACGTGTTCAGCGGGGGGTGGGCGGGCATCTCCCCCGACGCCAAGGACCTCGTGCTGCGCCTGCTCACGCGCGACCCCGCCCGCCGCATCACCCCCGACAAGGCCCTCTGTGCGTGGGGGGGGGAGGAAGGGGTGGTAGGATAGGACAGAGGGGGAGGTGGGATGGAGGGATCTGCGTGGGGCGGGGTGAAGCTGGGGGAAAAGGATGAGGAGTTGGAGTAGGCGTCTGGCAGTTCAAACAGGGGCGGACCCTCTCTACCGCCTCTCTACCGCCTCTCCACCACTCTCACTCCCCTCCCCCCCCCCCATCGCACATCCACCTCCACCGTCACAGCACACCCCCCTCCCACCCGTCCCTCTGCTCTCTCCTCTTCCCCCTCGCTTGCAGCCCATCGGTGGTTCAAGTCCGTCACTGCCGGCCCCCCACCCTCCCTTGTGCCCATCAAGGCCTCCCCGGCAGATGCTCCCACGCGCGCCCTGTCAGCTGCTGGCCTGCCAGGTGTTCGTCTGGGCGGTAAGCGCGGGTCCAGCACAGCGGGGGCAGGTGGAGAGAGGGCAGGGAAGGGAGGGGAGAGGGACGGTGGTGGCCGGCGCGGTGGGCAGGAAGGAGTGGCGGCGAGCAGGAGTGTGGAGGGCGCGGGCTGGCGGGAGCAGGGGGAGAGAGGGTGCGCGGACGATGGGCGGGAGTTGGTGCGAGGCAGGGCGGGCAGCAGCGAGGGCAGCGCGGGCCGTGCAGCACGGCTGACACGGCACCGCTCGGAGGATGTGGCGCGGCTGCTGCGCGGCGCAGGGGGGGCGCGGGAGTGGCAGGGCGGCACGGTGGAGGAGTGGAAGGCGATGAGGAGAGAGGAGGGGAGAGGCGCGCGGGGCAATGACATGAGAAGGGAAAGGGAAGGAGGCGTCGAGATGAGGGACGAGGAGGGAAGGAGGAGCAAAGGTTGGAGCATGAGCAGGGAGAGAGGTAGAGCGAGGGATCAAGAACGGCATCGGAGTATGGACAGGGAATGGGAGCGGGAAAAGCGAGTGGAGATGGATAGAGACAGAGGTAGGAACGAGGAGAAAGAGACGATCAAGGAAGAGGAGAGGAGTAGAGACAGAGTGAGCGAGGGGGAGAGGGATAGAGACAGGTTCAGGGAGGGGGAGAGGGATAAGGACAGTGATGAGGAGGGGGGGAGTGAAAGGGACAGGGTAAGGGACAGGTTCAGGGGGAGGGATAAAGAGGGCGATAGAGAGAGGTACCGATTGCAAGATGGTGGGAGGGCATACAGGAGGAGTTTCGAGTTGGATAATGAACGGGAGCAAAGATGGAGAGAGCGTGAGAGAGACAGTGAGAGAAGCAGAGAGTTGGATAGCGGCAGAGAGTTGGATAGCGGCCGGGACAGGCGCAGAGAGAGGGAGAAGGAGAGAGAGGAGATGGGACGGGAGAAGGATTGGAAAAAGGACGTGAGGGGGGAGAGGGAAAGAGGGAGACGAAATGAAGGTAGTGGGGCGGAGGTAGGGCGTGGTAGGGAGGAGTGTGGAGGAGGAGTGGGGGATGGAGGGAGGAACGGGGTGCTGTGGCGAGTGGGCAGTGGCAGCAGGCGGTTGGGGGAGAAGGCACGCGGCGTGGGAGGCGTGGGAGGGGTGGGAGGGGTGGGGGGTGTGCAGCGCCACAAGTCGGATGTGAGCGGCCTGCTGGCAGCCGAGCACGCCCGGGCCACCCACCACCACGCCCTCTCCCCCTCTCGCCGCTCCCCCCTCTCCCCCTCTCGCCGCTCCCCCCTCTCCCCCTCTCGCCGCTCCCCCCTCTCCCCCTCTCGCCGCTCCCCCCTCTCCCCCTCTCGCCGCTCCCCCCTCTCCCCCTCTCGCCGCTCCCCCCTCTCCCCTTCTCGCCGCTCCCCCCTCTCCCCCCTCTCCAGCCCCGATGCCCCCTCTGGTGCCGGGCGCGCCCCCCGCTCGCGCCCGTCACGGCGCTCGCACTGGCGCCTGTCGTACGACCTGGACGCCCCGCATGGCAGCACCGCCACCGCCCAGGGCGGAGCACATGGGGGGGACGAGGAGGGGGGAGGTGGCGTGGGGGGAAGAGCAGAGAATGAGTGGGGCAGGGCGAGCGCGCGGAGGAGAGCCATGCAGCGATCGCCGTCTCCGGAGCGCGAGAGGGAGGAGCGCAGTGGGGGAGCAGCACACCGACGCACTGGCAGCAGCAGCAGCAGCAGCAGCGGCCACGACCCCACCACCGCTCGCCCCTCACGGGCGTCCCACCCCACTGGGCTGCCCCCTCCCGGCGACCACCACCGGCGCCACCGCAGCTCCGGCGACATGCTGCCCGACCTCGCCTGCCCCGCCCCCGCCCCCGCCCCTCCCACCCGCACGCCCCCCTGCGCCGCGCCGCGCTCCCTGTCTGGCGGGCGCCCCCCTGACTGCCCCCCGCGCCCGGGGCTGGCTGGCAGCAGAGGCGCGGCCGGCAGGGAGGAGCAGGGCGCGGGTGACAAGGGCGCGGGTGACAAGGGCGCGGGGCGGGATGGTGCAGGGCGAGTGGGTGAGCGCACACGGCACAGTCGGAGTGCGTCGGTGGGGGTGGCGGGTATGGGGCGCAGGGAAGGGCGGAGGCATGGCGATGGGGAGGAGGGGGATGAGGAGGACAGGATTTATGGGGATAGGTGGGGGGAAGCAGAGGCAGAGATGGCAGTGCGCTCGCCGGGGGCAAGGATAGAGGAAGCAGCAGCGGATAGGCTGCTGGGCGGGGGTGCGAGTGGGGGTGGTTTGGTTCGGCACCGATCCATGGACGTGGCGTCGCTGCTGCACGCCCGCTCTGCTGATGACGCTGCCTGCCCCTCATCCCCTGTGCGCCGCGCCCTGTCCCCTGTGCCGGGCCTCAACACAACCATCAACGCCCTGTCCCCTGTGCCGGGCCTCAACACATCCACGCGCCGCGCCGATCCATCAACGTGCGGGCAGGAGGAGGGAGCACCCAGGCGCCGCCACCGTGCCACCCTGCCCACTCCCCCCCGCGCCCGCTCCCCTCTTCCACCCTCGCCCTGCTCCCCCACCAGCACCACCTCACAGCCCACCTCACAGCCCCCCACACAGCCCCCCTCACAGCCCACCGCACAGCCCCCCTCACAGCCCACCTCACAGCCCCCCTCACAGCCCACCTCACAGCCCCCCTCACAGCCCACCTCACAGCCCCCCTCACAGCCCACCTCACAGCCCCCCTCACAGCCCCCCTCACAGCCCACCTCACAGCCCCCCTCACAGCCCACCGCACAGCCCCCCACACAGCCCCCCACACGCACGCTGCATGATAGCCACTCGCCCCACTCACCCTCGCCCACCCACAATGCCCCCTTTCATGTGTGCCCGGCTGCCTCTTCCCCTGCCGCCACACCCCCGTCAGCGCTCGCCGCTCTGCCCCCCCAGCGCGCGCGGCGCAGCAGCGTGGACTTGGATGCGGGGCGGCGCTGCGGGCAAACTGGTGGGCGGCACGAGGCGCAGCGAGGCGCAGAGGTGAGGGAGGTGAGGGAGGCAGCAGAGCAGGACAGCAGCAGAGGCAGCAGCCCGGGTGGGGGCAGTAGCTTCCGCATGAAGGGCAGCAGGAGCGGGGTGACAGAGGGAGGTGAGAGAGGAGAGGGAGGAGAGGGAGAGGAGCGTGACAGGTGGAGCTCTGGCCAGGCACGGAGAGCAGTGGGCAGTGCAGGGGGGCTTTGGGGGGGAGGTGAAGGACACGGGCACATGCGCAGCAGCAGTAGCAAGGGGGAGAGCAGAGAGGGTTCATCGCTGGACCGAGAGGGTGGGGGTGAGTGCAGTGGATGGGAGGAGGAGAGTTCCGAGGTGCACGGTGGGGAAGAGCAACGGGGGCAGGGACACAGAGCGAGCGGGTGGGGCCTCAAGGCGGTTGAGGCGGCTGATGGGAGGCGGTGGAGCAAGGGAAGTGCCGGCAGGCTGGCACGGTACCGATCTGCAGATGTGTCCTCCCTTCTCCACTGACCCAGCTCTCTGTGTCTTGCCATTCTTCCTTTAGCGCAGTCCTGCTTCATTTGCGATGCCTCGCATGGTACAGTACTGGAAGACCCCGGATAGAGGCGCAGGCTTATGTTAGGCGCATGCACCTTAAACGGAGCATTGCGCTTATATTCGCTCTTCGATTATAAGGGCGTATTCTTGGTTTCGTGTCATCTGCTATTTGCGTCTTCGAAAAGACGCGAGCTGTCATTCAGCAGCTCGGGTCAACGAGACAAACATGTTTTTTGACAGAAATTAACTGGTCACCAGGGGTTTTTTTTATCAGAGTAAATTACTCCGTTTCTCTGAAAATCAGAGTGGTTTTTTGGGGGTTCACTCTGACGCTTCTGGGTATTTTGTTTGGAAGTTTTCTCTAATTTGCAAGGGTTTTTCACTGGCACGCATTTTCTCTTCAAGAAGAAGCCTCGTAGGCCCGCGTTTACCGTTACCGCTGACGGATGGTACTGCCGTGCCCCACCATCGCCTCCCGAGCCACCACAGCCTCCTGCACCCCTTCTCCTCCCGTTCCTCCGTCGCCTCCCGCACCTCCTGCTCCTCCGAATCCTCCTCCTTTAGAAACCTTGGGCAACCGGCCCGTGCTCCAGCTTTGCCAGTATCTCCCTAGTGACAAAATTAGAAGAAGAAAGAGGAATGAACTAGCAGAAATGGGGATACAAATAGCAAACCCTAGAAGGGTTGTACTCGCTATAGAGCACCCCACTACAGGCTAGAACATAAGAATAATATTCTGACACACCCCCATAGCCAAAGTGGGGTGTAATCAGCAGAGCAGGCAAAGCAAAACAAGCTCAGGGTGGATCACAATGTCACCACACATTCTGAGCACAAGTTCAAGAAGAAATAGTTTAGAGTTAACAAATTATAAGCAAAGCTAGTGGTAGTCACAACGGGCAAGTGAGGAGGAGGAGGGAGAGTGAGGGGAGAGGAGATAGGAGGCGACGGCTGAAGCTGCAGACACACGGGCAGCAGGAGGCAGACTGGCACAGCGGCTACCGGACAGCGCCCGGACTACAGGAGTAACAGGCCCCGCGGCTCAAATAGCGGCGGACGGGCAACGGACCCACAGGCGGCTGGCGTAGAAGTCTAGCTCACTGGGCTACCGGGACAGCGCCCCGGACTACAGGTGCTGCTGACGACAAACTGGCAACCTCCGCTCATCCTCCCGCACACAGTCCCACCCACCTGATACACACCCACTGCTACACCGCTAGCTCTACTCCCACGCACCCCCCTTAAACCCTAAACCCCAGTCTCCCACACAACCACCCCCCTCAGCGACAGCTGCAGCAGTGGGAGACGAAGGAGGAGGAGGAGCAAAGGGAGGAAGGCACACCGAGCACCCCCATACCCGCCACCCCACAGCTCGCGCGGCCCCCGAAGGAGCCGCGACGGGCGACGGGAAATGGCAGGGGGAGGGGGGAGGGGGGGGGGGGGGGGGGGGGGGGGGGGGGCGGGGTGGTGAAAGGGACCCACCACGGGCCTGGTTGGAGGGCGGGGCCGCAACAAGGGGCGGGGCCGCAACGAGGGGCGGGGCCGCGAAGTAGGGCGGGGCCGCTTCGAGGGGCGGGGCCGCGACACAGGGCGGGGCCGCGACGTAGGGCAGGGCCGCGACGGTCGGGGCGGGGCCGCGACGTAGGGCGGGGCCGCGACTGTAGGGCGGGGCCGCGACGAGGGTCCCCGTCGCCCGTCGCGACGCCTCCAGAAGGCGACGCGGCAACCGACGGGGCAGAAGCCCCGCCGCGCGCCTCGGGGCGCACAGCGGGCAGAGAACCGCCGCGCGCCCCGGGGCGCACGGCGGGCAGAAAACCGCCGCGCGCCTCGGGGCGCACGGCGGGCAGAAAACCGCCGCGCGCCTCGGGGCGCACGGCGGGAGGAAAAAGTAGCAGCGGAAGCGAGGTGGTAACCCACCCACAGGATCGATCCAAGGGGATCGACCTGCTCTGATAGCATGACAAAATTAGAAGAAGAAAGAGGAATGAACTAGCAGAAATGGGGATACAAATAGCAAACCCTAGAAGGGTTGTACTCGCTATAGAGCACCCCACTACAGGCTAGAACATAAGAATAATATTCTGACACCTAGGACATTTAACGAGTGGCTGGAGGAACGAGTCAGGGAAAGGCCTCAAGATGAGTGTACCGAGACTCCCGCGCCCGCACCACGCTGGGGCAAGCCCGAAGACTGCGCGTGGGATGAATCCGCCGTGGGCGCTGACGACGATGTGAATGCCGAGGGCGCGGAGGGCGACAAGGTCGCCGCGGCTGCGACGACGATGGTGTAGAAAACTGGTCGCGCGACGACCTTCCTGAAAAGTTGCCGATACCGTCTTATCCACCGACTAACCGCAAGCGTCCCCACCCATCTTCACAGAACCGTAATGCCCGCCCCCTCTGCCAGGCACAAGATGAAGTGCCCGCCCCCTCTAACGCAGCACTAGCGAAAAGGTTACACATCCCAGGAAAAAATGAAGTGCCTCGCGATGCTGGAAGTGGCGGTTTCCGTGCGCTCTCTATCTCGTGAGTCTGACATCTATCGGAAGTGCTTGACACGGTGGAAGAGGGAGGCGGCCGCCCTAAATGAGGCTCACGGTGCACGGATGCGGATGCACGGTCGCGGCAGAGCATCTTGGTACATGCCTATGGAGCGGAAGGTCTATGCGAGGCTATTGGAGTGGCGGCGCAAGGGGTGCGCCGTCTCAGTTGGTCGTCTGCAGGAGTGGTCGAAGGAATTCATGAAGATTCTCTTCCCCGACGTGAAGTGGAAGGGCAGTCAGAGGTGGTCGGACCGGTTTCGGCGCCGCTGGAATTTGGGCGTCCGCATGAAGACGAAGGTAGCACAGAAAACTGCCGAACGTAAGTGCCTCCCTTCATTATAGTTACGTTTATTATGCGTCGTCCTTTATATTTTGTACTGTTACGAGTGATCTTATATCCCTACCGCCTCCCACCCCCCCCCCCCCCCCCCCGCCCCCCTTCACCTCTATCTCACAGATGTCGCGGAGCAGTGTACGAAGTTCTGGAAGTTCGTTCGCAATAACCGTCATGAGCGCGGCATCGAAACTTCGTGGATTATCAACGCCGACGCGACGCCGCTGTGGCTTGAGATGCCCGCCACCACCACTGTGGAGCAAATGGGAGTTCGCTCGGTGCCCATCAGGAGCGCTGGCTACCAGAAGCAGTGCGTTACCGTAATGTTGGCGTGCACGGCTGACGGTGTAAAGCTGAAGCCATGGGTCTTCTTCAAGCGCAAGATAGTCCCGAAGGGGGACTTCTCACCGAGTAAGACATCCAACCCTATTAACCTTTTTGTTATTGTCATGAGACATCAGAGCTTAAATACAAACCCTTTGTTGCGTGCGCAGATGTGGTGGTGGGGTGTCAAGACAACGGCTGGATGGACGCCGATGGTGTGCTGAAGTGGCTTGATGGGTGTATCGCGCCTTTCATAAGGCCCTGGTTCGGCAGGCAGGCGAAGAGCGCGATTCTTGTTCTTGATTCATACCGCGGGCATGTCACGGACGAGGTGAAGGCGAAGCTTGCCGAGCTCTACATCGTCACAGCGGTCATCCCGGCAGGCTGTACGTCAGAGGTACAGCCGCTCAACGTATCGGTCAACAAAAGTTTCAAGGCCTCCGTTCGTGAGCAGTACCAGACCTGGTTTGAGGAGGAAGGCTTTGAAAGGCTGACAAAAGGGGCTGAGCTGTTAAACTTACTCACGGGTTAAATTTCTCCCCTCCCTTTGTTGTTTCAATCTCTCTTCTGATTGTGATGTGGTGCATGGAACTTCAAGAAGCCGCCTGCTGAGGTGGTTCTCAGGTGGATCTCCCGGGCCGGGAAGGCAGTCCCCGCCGAGCTGATCAAGAAGGCGTTCCTCACTTGCGGCATTAGCAACGCCCTAGACGGGAGCGAGGAAAAGCTCGCCATGGCGCACAGGAGGGGCCAGCTGTCGCACGAAGTGGACGTAAAGGACGACATCACGGCCGATGAATTCTGGGGTAACAATTGCTCGGAGCCAGAGTCAGACGAGGAGTAAATGCTAACGGTAGAAATGCTAGAGTTTTAAATGCAATGCACTACATAAAGTCATGAAGGTTAGAATGTTTTTAAAATATGATGCCCAATCTAGTATAAAAGTTAGAATGTTTTTAGATTGCTCCTGATAGTAGTGTGTGTAGAGAAGAATGTCAGAAAATATAAGTTATATCTTCTATGTGTAACAGCCTGTAGGATTGATTACTGTAGTTATAGCGTTTTACTGTTTGGTGGTGCACCCTTTCTGTTTCTTCTTGCCTATTTGTACCGCTTGCTCAATATTGAACTCACCTTTTGGCAAAAACCCTCTCGACATTGTTCCTCCCTAGTCAAACCCTAATGCCTCCTAAGTTACTAGTTAACCACCTATTTTCTGCCCGTCGCGCGCCCAGGGCGCGCGGCGGTTTTCTCATCGTCGCGCGCTGCCCCGTCCAGCCCGCGCGCGCCGCCTCGTGCGCCTGTGAGTCGCCCTGCAGCACCCGCGCACCGCCCCGTGCAGCCCGCGCGCCGCCCCTCTGCCGTGGAGCGGCTTTTTTCCTGCCCTCCCCCTCCCCCCACCCTTTCTCCTTCATCTCCTGGCTGCGCGTGCAGCCGTGGGGGGGAGGTTTTGAGGGGTGGCAGGTATGGGGGTGGCGGGAGTGAGTAGTCCCTGCTCCTCCTCCTCCTCTCTCTCTCGCTGCTGCATCTGACGCTGGGGGGGGGGGGGGGGAGGGTGTGGGGGAGCCGAGTGAGTAGCGCTAGGGATGCCGAGGGGTGTAATCAGGGGGTTTGGGAACATAGGGGGAGGTTGAAAGGAGGTAGCCGCCGTGAAGCCAGCAGCTCCAGTAGTCCGGATGCCCTTGCTCTGGTAGCTCGTGAGCCCGTTGCTCTAGTCGCCTGTGGGTCAGTTGCTCCAGCCGCTCGTCTAGCCGCGGAGCCAGTTACTCCAGTAG